GAAAAAAATTACTGTTAAAACAGAGTATATTTGGTTAATGTTGGCAGCAGCAGACTGCAGGACTGATCGTTCATAAGATAGTACAGGTATTATATTATTTGTTCTATTCAGAAGTCCTTTAAGCAACTGCAAATGGTGGGACATGAGAAAGCAAAGTCAAACTGAATACAAAATGTTTTTCATCAAGAAACTGAACTGATTAGTGATGTGTTATGGCTGAGGCTAGTCAGAGGTGAAACTTGGTGTGTTGAACTAGAGTGGTGGCAAGTACTAATTACTTGAAGTTAATTTTGCTGAGTGAACAGCCTTGGTGTGTGCTTGCTTATAAATGTGCTTTCTTGCAAGTATATTCCAGGTAATCAAACAACTAAAGAAGGGAAATAAAAGTACAGGTTAGCAGGGTAGGTCAGTGAAAAGCTCAGAGTTTGCTTATGTATGGCTCACTGTTTGCCAGAACCCACCAATGTGACACATTACAGCTATTCACTCACTTAGACTTCTGTAGCTGTGTTTATCATTATTGGGGTGAACTGATTCATAGTTTTGATTTTCCCTACCAGTTGCTGTTGTGGCTGTCTTGCAAATGTTACTGCAATAATGTCCTAATTTTTTTTTCACTTGAATTCTAGTTGCAATGAAAAATTGTAACTTCTCAGTTGTGTCGGGTGTCACCTGTAAAGTTACATTACAAAACTTCTTTTTTTTGGTAATCTTGTCTAATATACATATGGATATATATTAGATGATATACACACTGTTGAAAAGAAAGTCCAGAGGATGTGTCACAATGTATGAGAAGCGGGGAAAATGAAAAGAGAGCTGCGTTGTAAATACTTGTCAGTTCAAGCAGAGAAGCGTTCTGCAGAACCCAAGGCATTACTCTGTTTAAGCAGCTTAGCCTAGATGAACTGTGGGCCTAACACAGTACTAAATGGGTCACTGCTGGGGTGTATGCATGTCCACCCTGTGCTGTTAATTAGCTGTAGGTAGAGTCCTTGGAGTTCTGGCTGTTACAGTGGTGAATATGAACTTGTGTTACTTAGCCATGTATGTTGTTAACAATTTTTTGTTGTTCTGCAGTAGAATCTATAAAACGTCACTCTGACAGTCCCAGGAGTGCTGTAATGAATTTGCATTACATCTGTTTGTATCTTGAAATGTATTAACTTTAGTGCATCAGTAGGTCCAGTTAACACAGAAGCATTTAGAGATTTTGCCAACAATAATGTTTATGTAGAGCTCTGTGATAACAGTTTTCAAATAAGCCTTACAGGAAGCTTGTTTCTGTTAACCTTGGAGGTTAACATTTTTCTCAGCCTCAATGAATCTTGTTTCTGCAGAGTTTGATGACCCTTCTGCTATGGTGGTACTGGCAGAAGAAGAGCTGGTAGTTATAGACTTGAAAACTGCAGGCTGGCCAGCAGTCCATCCTCCATACCTGGCTTCTCTTCACTGCTCAGCAATCACCTGTTCACACCATGTCTCCAACATCCCGCTGAAACTGTGGGAGAGGATTATCAGTGCTGGGAGCAAGCAGAACATTCACTACTCAAATATGGTATGGCAGCTTTAAATGTACATGTGTTCCTTCCCATGCATTTAAGAGCAGGATGACTGCTCAATGTGGGTGGTCTGTGCTGCTGGCTGCATGTGGAGGGATGAGTCCCCGCAGACATTGTCCTGCCTCTTAACAGGGTCAAGAAAGGCTTTTTCCCAGAGCACCACCAATGCACACTGGGGGATTAAAATGTGATTTTTTTTTCAGGCTTTGACATGCTAGAAGGAAAGTCTGAGTGTTCCCAGCTGTCAGTGGTAACAAACTTCTTGTTTAGAAGCATGAAGCTTTCGGCACAGCTTCTTGAGGAAATGTGTAGAATATCTTCTAAAAAGCACAGCTGGTGTCAGAACAGGAACATCTAATCCAAACAAAAGCTAACAGCATGGACTGTTTCACTGCCACTTGCGCTGAAGTTCATGCTCTCCTGCTGACTGCATATTCTCTTCACATTGTTACTGCCTAGGAAGTCACAGTCTTCCCTTAATGTATTTGTAGCCGTGGCCGATTGATGGTGGCACCAACATAGCTCCAGATCCTCCACAGAGGGACTTGCTTCTAACAGGGTACGTACTTAACTAGTAACAATCAAGGAGCCCTTTCCAGTTTCTGTTCTTACTTTGGGACTAACTGAGGCTTTCCCATGAGATTAAAGTCTGCTCATCTTGTAGGGAGAAGGCTGCAACTTTACAATGCAACTTCTCAAAGCTGGGCTGCTAGCTTTGTAAAGCTAACTGATTCTACTGCTTCTGAGCAAACAGGTTGTGACGTCCATAGATAACCTATAAAGCTGGCTTATTTGTAGTTCTGGTGTGTTATCCATTCCCCCCACAAACATCAGTGCAGAAGTGCAGGCAGTAATGCAGACTTGATCAAAGGGAGCAGTGTACAAGTGGAGCTTAATCTTGCACGTTTTGAAGCATTTTCCCTCCTACTTTACACCATTCTGAACCTCAAACCAGAGGTAAGCTTGGACTGTCTGCTTTGATCAGCATGAACAGATCTAGCTAAGTAGTGGAAGTAGCTAACAAGACAGTGTTTCATCACAGAAAAAAGGATCATTTTTTTTCCAAAGCACATTTAAGAATTTCAGTGGGCTGTTCTTCAGATTTTGTTCTTGATGCAGCAAGCTGTTAGAAGTCCTTATCTTTGCGTTGGAAGAATGTTGCCAATTTTCACCTGGCAAACTTAAGCTTGATTTCTTTCCATTCCTCCCAGTAATTGTTTTCTTGTCAAGGTGAATTGTTCCTTCTATATACTAAGCTTTTTTCTTTTTCAGTGCTATTTGGAGTAATCTTAAATTGTACACTGGTGTCAGATCATCCAGAACAAAGTGGTTTAAGAAAACAACAATCTAAACCATAACAAACCCAGACTCAACAAAAAACCCGCCTTAAAATCTTTTGCTTGAAGCTCTAAGTTGTCACAGCTCAGGGCTTCATAAATAATGTGGTTTAATCTTTGGCTGTGTTTTCCCCTCTGTTTTATCATCCTTATCTGGGTGATTTGCTGTCCTCCTGTATGATGTGTGTTTCTGTAATCCTCCCCATACAGGCATGAAGATGGCACTGTGCGGTTCTGGGATGCATCTGGTGTCTGCTTGCATCTCCTTTATAAGCTAAGCACAGTGAGAGTATTTCTCACAGATGCTGATCCCAATGACAATATGAACACCCTGGGTGAGGACGAATGGCCTCCACTTCGCAAGGTAAGGTAGTTATTGCTTGTGGAAAACCCAAGGAGTTTGATTCTTGTCGTAGTTAACGCATCTGCAAAGACCTGCCACTGTGTGTTCTCTCACCTAGGTTGGTACCTTCGACCCTTATAGTGATGATCCTAGACTTGGGATCCAGAAGATCTACCTGTGTAAATACAGTGGATACTTGGCTGTAGCTGGTACAGCAGGACAGGTATTGAAATGTAAACTGTCATCATAAAACTTGCTTTTAGTGCACATTGTCACAGTGTAACTGGGAGTTGTGTTAAAATTCCAAATACTCATTTCTATAGCAACAAATCGATCCAGTTGCTGGAAACGTTGATTCTCTGTTTTCTCTAATCTGTATTTTAGACTTTTATCTAATGATATTTTTGAGCCCTGAGAGATGCTGTAGTTTTGCAGCTGCTGAGAAAGCCTGCAGCTTAGAGAATTGCTTGAATTGTAAAAGCTGTAGCAAAGTTCGTCATCTTCCTTTCAGGTGCTAGTGATGGAATTGAATGATGAAGATGCAGAACATGTTGTGGACCATGCTGAAGCAGATCTCCTGCAGGATCAAGAGGGCTATCGATGGAAAGGTCATGAAAAACTAAAGACTCGAGATGGACCAGTTCGATTTGAAGCTGGTTTTCAGCCATTTGTCCTTGTCCAGTGTCAGCCACCAGCTGTAGTCACCTCATTGGCCCTTCACTCTGAGTGGAAGCTTGTGGCCTTTGGTACCAGTCATGGTTTTGGGCTTTTTGACCACCAGCAGAAACGACTGGTCTTTGTCAAGTAAGTATCTTCTTTCCAGGATCTGAGGTAATCCTCTGTTAAAGATGGCCTGGAATTGCTAACAAAGCAAGTTGTGATAAGTGATTTCTCAAGAGAATCAGTGTAGCAAGAAGCCCTGCCTCACCGGACTCTGTCCTCGAAGATCTTCAAGAATATATAAGCATGTTCTGACATTTGTATGTGTCCTGTCGGACCCTTGGGAGTGATTGCCACCTAGTAGAAAGTCACCATGGTGCCTACTGTGTCTTCCTCTTTCAGATGTACGCTGCATCCCAGTGACCAATTGGCTTTAGAAGGCCCACTGTCTCGAGTGAAATCCTTGAAGAAGTCCCTCCGTCAATCATTCAGGCGGATCAGAAGAAGCCGAGTGTCCAGTAGGAAGCGACGAGGTGGTAGTGGAAATGCCTCAGAGGTGAGGGGTCCACCTTTTTTGCTTCCTGTATGTTTATAGGTTGTAGCATGCAGAGTCCTGATTAGACTGCCTAGAGCAGGAGGTGGTCTGCAGTCCTGCTATGGGACCAGTAGCTACCGGTGTAAGGGCAAAAACGACACCTTCTGATGCAGCTATCTGTTAGATAAAATCATCACATTTCTAGAGAAAGAGTATTGTCTGAACATACGATGCAGAATATACCTGTTCATTGGTGTGATGGTGTTTTTGTTTCCTATTGCTGCCACTCCTATTCTCTCCCTTATGTCTTTGCCTGACTGACAAAAATGTCTCCTCATCTTTGAAGGTGCAAGAAGCAAACGCCAAATTTGACCAAGACACACTGCAGGAAATGGAACTGGCTCCAGTCCAACGGAAGATTGAAGCCCGATCTGCAGAAGACTCTTTCACTGGCTTTGTGCGCACCTTATATTTTGCTGATACCTTTTTGAGAGACAGTAAGTAGAAAAAGCATCTCTCCTTTTTTTCCAAATGAGTTTTTCTTCCTTCTGCCAAGGAATGTATTAGGATTTACTGCCAGGAAAATTCAGCACCTCCTGTGTCCTACTTTGTGCTATACTGAAAAACTAATATAGAACAAGAGCATATGTTGCCATGCAGGACTGTTGTTTGCCATTCTGGCTGCTGGCTAATCCAAGGCAAGTAGTAGTTCATCTTTGGATGCAGCCTTTATGTATGGCTTTAAAATGTGCTGGAGTGACACCTGACATTTTAGTGTAGTCTTTTCCTTGTCTCCTTACTCTAAAGTTCACCCTTGCCCTGAGCAGTGCCTTTGAATTTTGGTGAGGATAGTGGCTGGTTGTGCAGCAGAGCCCAATCCGATATTATGGGCAAGTTTACTCTGCTTATACGTGATATAAAAACATGAAAACCGGATGCAGCAATTGTGGTGTCTGATGGAAACGGCACTCTGTTCCCTTTATTCACATGCCATGTCCTTTATCAGGGCTGCTGATGGGCATATATTGGAAAAGAGGTTCTATAAACCTGTAGCTTCCCTGTCAAGTCTGCCCTAATGTAAAGATACTTAGGATGCAAACTGTAAAGCCAGTGGAAAGCAGTTGTCCAAGGGTGTCACAGGTGGTGCTTGCTCATGACCCTTCTTGTTGCTCCAGGCTCCCGCCACTGCCCATCCTTGTGGGCAGGTACCAATGGAGGTACAGTCTACGCCTTCTGTTTACGTGTTCCTCCAGCAGAGAGGAGGATGGATGAACCTGTCAGGGCAGAGCAGGGTAAGTATGGCTTGTGAAAGCAAGTTCCTAATGGGCCTGAGCTATCACTCATATAACTGAGTCATATATGGAAAAGCAAGGTAGCTTGGTTACTGCTGTTTATTAGTGAGAGTGGAGCTAAGTGTAGCAGTGTCTGAGCTATAGGTAAGCGAGCTCCAGCACTGCCTGACAAGCCTTAACCTCATTTCCTACTGATTTCAGAAATCTAAATTTGCGTCAGCTGTCACTGAAGTTTACCATCAGGCCTCAGTGCACACATACCTGATTCTGACAGCTGGACCTTCTACCTTTATGTAATAATAGTTACTGTTTAACATGAACCAGTTCAGTCCAAATACCCTTTAACTACTAAATCTTTTTAGGCAGTTTTTTTTAGCCACATCATGTAGGTCTCCAGCTTTAAGAGGATATGGGTGAGGTACTAAGACAATGTCTCTGCCTAGGCTCCCGTTTGGTTTTTCTATTTGTTTATTTTTCTCCCTGTCTTGCTTGTCTAGCTAAAGAGATTCAGCTGATGCACAGGGCTCCTGTTGTGGGTATACTTGTCTTGGACGGACGCAGCACTCCCCTCCCAGAACCTCTAGAAGTAGCACATGACCTTTCTAAGAGTCCTGATATGCAAGGCAGCCATCAACTGCTGGTGGTATCTGAAGAGCAATTAAAAGTAAGTATCACCCAGGAGGTGCATATGGACTGTGCATAAATTCTGCTAAAGCACTGAGCACTACTCAGTGGAAAGATAACTCTTGGGAGTGCTTTCTCTTCTGCACCTGAATAACACCCCTGAGGCAGTGTTTCTGTTTGATGTAGTCCATAAACCAGGTGTGTGCTGACAAATGGGGAATTAAGCACAGTGATGCACATGCTGAACATAGAAATTTTATTCCTATATTATATTATACTCTTTGGACAAGGCTGCTTCTGCTTTTGGGAAAGAGGTTTTGCTGTGGTTAGTGCTGAAGCAGGACTTGGCAGGCATTTCTGTGAAGTAACTAAAAAGGTTCTTGTTTTGAACACTAACCAGTCAGCATAGAAGAGAAGACTTGAAGTAGCTTGCTGTAGGCTGGCCCTGTTTGTTTTTTTAATGTGGAAGAGCACAGAGTTAGTGTAAACCCTGTTCTCTTTCTGTAATAATTTGTAGCCAAATATGGAGGGGTTTTGAAAGAACTAGGGCAGAAATGCAGTTTGCAGCCTTAAGGGTAAAACTGCTTGATGTCAGAACAGAAGTAGGTTCTAACACTTGACTGTGACTGATTACTTCTTGTCCCATGAGCGGGGGGCCAAGTTGACTCGGATTACACCTGTGTGTGTTCACTGTGAATGAAAACATTGTTAAAGCAGGGAGCAGCAGATGTCCTGGGATGTGACTGCTGCTATTGTGCAGGAAAGAGATGTTGGCGTCTTGTTTCTGTTGACAGGTATTCACATTACCCAAGGTTAGCTCCAAACTGAAGCTCAAGCTGACGGCACTGGAAGGCTGTAGGGTACGAAAGGTGACGGTTGCGAACTTTGGCAGCTGCAAGACTGATGAATATAGTGAAAATGACCTGGCTGTCCTGACTAACCTGGGAGACATTCAGATCATCTCACTGCCCTTCCTCAAGTTACAGATCCGCTACCCTTGCATCCGCAAAGAGGATGTGAGCGGCATTGCATCATGTGTCTTCACCAAATATGGCCAAGGTAAACTGTGCTGCTCCCAAATCATCCACCTCTGCTGTGTGTTTGAGACAATGGAAAAGAGGTTATAGAGTTTAGTTTAGAACTGGTAGTGTATATATGTGAGTATTATGTAAATATGTCCATTATATGTTTCTGGCCAGTACCAGTTGCCAACAGGTACCAACATGTGAATTAGCAGAAGCAGAGGTGAGTTTATTCCATTATTGCTAATGAATACACTAGTTTTCAGATAAGAGGTTGGATGTGCCCCATAGGTAGCTTCCATCTGGCCACCCGTCTCCTGTCTGGAGCCAAGAAAATTACTCCCTAAGCAGCAGGCACTCTGGAAATGGCTGTATTGGACCTCTTACACATGCCAGTGGCTTAACACTCCAATTGCAAAACTGGGATCCAGCATCCTATGGCTGCTGAAGGTGGATTGCTGCTTTGAAGATTAGTTTTCACATATTTCTATGCTGCTTTTCATAAATGTCGGCACAGGACAATACAATCCTCTCAGCATAATCTTAAATTACCCCGTCCTTGGGAACCAGTCGTTGGGAAACTGGGGTATTATCTTCCTCAGTGATTCCTCCTCATTTAGACAGGAGGAAATGCAAACCCTTTCTGCCAAACATAAAGGATGCTTAAATCTGTTCTTTTTTGGATCACCTCTAGTTCTGGAACTGTATTCTTGGACTTGAGTTGCTTATAAATTCCCCATTATCTGTAGGTTTCTATCTGATCTCACCATCGGAGTTTGAGAGGTTTTCCCTTTCTACCAAATGGTTAGTGGAGCCCCGGTGCATTGTGGACATGCCAGAAGTTACAAGCAACAATCATGTGCACAAGTCTGGCATGGAAAATGCAGCAAGAAAATCCAGGTAAAGTCTGTAAAACTCTTGCACACTGACTATGTCTGAGTAGTGAGATCTACTTGGCTGTTTCCAACGAAGTTTTGTATTTTTGTAGACAATGTCTTATTAAAAAAAAAAACCAACAACAAAACAAACAACAAAACTCCACCAAACAAACCAAAAACAAACCCACAAAAAAACCCCCACAAAACAGACTTTGAAGTCTTTGTTAAGAACGTTCCTAGATGGACAAAGTAATGAAGCATTGCAATTGGTACCCCTAAGCTACAGTCGTAAACTGGATGCTCTGGCTTGCTTTACTTGTTCCCTAATGATGTGTCTGCCTGATACCTGGCTCTTGCATACTTGAGGGTCTGTGAGTTACTGACAAGGCTGAACTGTTGTTCTGTGATGGGAAATCCAATATTCCTTCTGTCCTCTTGGAACATCAGCAAATAACAGTAGATCTGACACTAATGGAGATACTATAGGAATTTTATTCCAAAAATTTAGAAATCTTCTCTGATGCCTGCAGATTTCCACATCACCAATGTGTGATAAAGCCCTTCCTACATTCTTGCTCAACAAACCATTTAGTTGGTGTGCACTGGAGCTTCTTGTAGCTGCCAAGAGTATACCTGAATTCTCTGTACCCCTATGCCTCAGAGTTGGTGATTGTCTGCCCCCTTTCCTTTTCTAGGGGATCAGGAAGGTGTTCGGGTGACTATGGAGAAGATGGTAAGCAAAATATAACTGTACTAAATGTAGCATGGTGCTGTGTAAACCCTGAATCACCTTTCCTATTGCTACAGTTGATATTTTCTACCTAAGAATTGGGGAAGTAAGGAGGTACATGAGGGAAACATTGTGACCTGCCTGGACACAGTAGTTGCTAGCTCTAAGGCAAGTTACATGTGGCAAGATTGCCTTGAAAGGATAGAACCTAGATTCTGCTGGAGGCGGCTGTGGGAAGACAGTCTGAAATTACAGATGACATCTTTTGTTAGCCAAACTAGTGTTGCTGGAAAATACGGTTCAGTATGTGAGAGGCTTAACTGGATTTTTTTTTTCCTTGTTATGTTGTGGGTTTCCAAAACTGCACATATTTCATGAAAAAGGGAAAATATTGTATGGTAAAAGCTTTTTTTCCTTTTTTCCTAGAAAGGAAGTCTGGGAGGCTGATGGAACATGCCTTACTCAATGATGAAAGTGAGTGAGAGAAAGTCTTGCTACTGGCAGGGTAGATGCCTTTCTGGGTAGGAAGAGAAAAAAGCTGCTAGGAATCTTGCGGATTCCAGTACTTGTTCAAAGGGTTCTGCAATTACCTAAGACTGGTAGAAATACTGGGTTTTCACATAGAAGTGAGGGGCTGGACAGATAGTCAAGCCTCAGGTAGGGGTTGTTCCACATTGCTGCATTCACTGCTGTGATAAGAGAAGGTTCTTTACTTCCCAATAGGACTTGTGTAAAATGGCAGCTGGAACAGACTGGTTTGGGGCTCTGGTACACTGGAACTAGCAACATTTCCTCTGGCAAATGACTGTTTCAGTTCTTTTTGCTAGCCTGTTCAGTAAAAACCTGGTACTGTTGAAGAGGCAATGATATTATAAGGTCTGACTTCTGTGTTGTGGGAGGCAGGTTTTAAAGGTCGTTCAGTGGGGAGGTGGAATGTGGTTAGGCTGCTGCTTGAAAGCAGATATCTGCTGGTTTGGCTCACTGTTTTAACCCTCTGCTTTCCAGAAGTCCTGAAGGAGATCCAGAGTACTCTGGAGGGGGGCAGAGGGTGAGTATCAACCAACTTCTGTTCCTAATGTGTGGGCTGGCAAGGGAGGTAATTTCTAGTTGAAAGCAGGGGATGTCTAACGTGATGGCAGGGATCCTTATGCTGGAGTCTGGTCATGTATGTGTCCCACAAACTATCAAAAGGGAAGAGTAAGAAAGGCAGGTTCTCTTGCACCTTTTGTCCCTTGACATTTTTTATAAATAATGCTTTGTCTCTTTCTCTCCGAAAAGCAGGAGAGATCACATTCCCACATCCCAAAGGAACAGGAGTCTGAGTATTCGCATACAGGTTTCTATTCATGTCAACCCATACTGATCTAAGGGCAGGCCACACGGGCTTAGTTGGTCAAGGATGGGACTCTGGAGTTTTAATCCTGGCTTGACACTATGACTTGGACGTGTTCAATATCTCTGCTCCCATTCTGTCTATACAATAGAGCTAAGCTACCACCATGGGTGCGGGGCTTTATCTTGTCTCCTTAGAATACTGATGTTCAGGTGACAGGGGCTACGAGGCGCAGACAAAGGACTACTGTTTGCAACAGATGCAGGAAGCTTGGTGGGATTGGTAACTGCTGGTGTCTAAGGATAAGTGACTGCCTGACATGCTCTGCTCTGTGCACTTCCTCTGGACACTACCTAATCCTGGTCTACTGTCAGCAGCTGGGAGTGGATGGGATGATACTACATTGCAATAATGAATCTTTTCTTGTGTCATTGCAGGAGCTATGTAGAAAGAAATTTGGCAAGAAGTCCATTAGGACATGGACTAAGTAATGGAGGAGGTACGTGAAGCTAAAGATATTTCAGGCCCAGTGGAGCAGCCAAAGGAAGCAGAAAGTAGAGTGAAGTTTCCTTACAAAATTCAGCTTTTTAAAATGGTTTGCAATAGTGCAGAACTCTGATCTGAATTTTCAGGACGGGAATCCTCTTGCTGTGTGATGTACTAGCACTAGTCAGCACCTTATGTGCCATATGAGTAGATATGCTGGATCAGTTATAAAGGAAGAGCTAAAAAACTTTTGAAGGCTTCTGCCTAACCCTTAACCTTACCATAAAGCAAGCTGGAGAGGTAGCCAGAGCTCAGAGCAGTAATCTTCTGAGCCTTACTAAGGGTGTCTTCACTGAGCATAACAGGATATACAGAATCCCTCTTTCCTTCCTCTGTGCTTTGAAGGTTTGAGTAGTGACCACAGCAACATGCGAGACTACGTTAATTCTGAAAACCCTTGGGCAGATAATGTGGAGTGGAGAAGTTTACTATATTTTTGTAGGTTTATACATTGCCTTTCAAAATAAGTGCATGTCTAGTATGTGTGTGGGGATGTGCCTTGCTAGAGCTTTTGAGTGTAAATTCTTGTAGTTGATTCCATGATGCATGTTATATTATAGCATATTATCAACTCATTAGCGTTCAACTTCTGTTCTCTAAAATGACTTTTGCATTCTTTTATCCCAAAGCAGACTGACCAAAATTCATCAAGGACTTTCTGGCATTGGTTTGAGTGCCATAACACTACTGATTGGGCAAACCGTCCCTGGGGAGAAGGCACCACTGCTCCTTACATCGCAGGCTACTGAGCTGCAACTTGCATGCATATGCATGCCTGCCTCTGCCTCCCCTTTTAGTGCCTCATTAGAGACATCTCCTCTTGGAGCCCGCCTTGCATTAGGACAGAAGAAGATCACCAGGGCTGATGCACCACAAGCCTCTGAGTACATCTAACTTTTAAATGTTTGCACATTTCTCTTTTCTACTGGGCTGGGTTTTAAATTATAAATGTTACTGCCTTGGTGCAGGATTTTAATAAACGCACACTGTTACCTCCAACTGGTTTAAAATTATTTTTTGTACAATTTTTTAAAATCGTATGGGTATTTCAGTTTTAACGGAAACAGTTTAGAAATTTACTTTTTAAAAAAAACATTAAATAATATATGCTAGATTCATGTGACTGCTGTATATGGTATCTGAATGAGTAATTTTGGTTGTTTATGGTACTGTTAACTGGCTTTATGGATTTGGGTAGAATCTATTTTTGTAGCCATTCAAATCAGAGGAAAACTAATTGAACTTGATTGTTGTTTCAACACTACATTGCTCATTTTTGGAAATAAAACTCTGAATTCCCTTTTGTGATCCCTGTCTGTTCTCATATCTGTTCTTGCCATCAGCAGCTTCTTTGGCAACAGGCTTATGCCCACTTACTCCTTGAAGAAGGTGGAGCTGTTCCTCTCTGAGCTGTAGAGGCAAAGAGCACTCCTGGAAATCAAGTGGCCTGGTTAAGGAAGGTGGTGGTTTGGAGAAGATGCATGTGGCAAGCAAACTGATTGTATCACTGTCCTGCAATCCATACATAGTGTTCCCAGAAAAGGGTGCAGCTTATAGTCCCTGGAAGGTCATCTACTAGCTTGTCCTGAAATAACTTGGGTGATAACACACTGAAGGGAGAAACAGTTGATCTGATAATGCTGGTGTACTACTCAGCCAATGGATTTTGAATTGAAACTGGTGAAAGTGTGTGTCGAGCAGTTTATAACTCTTTAAACTTTTGGTTCCTTTGTCCCTGACCTAGCACTACTTTATTATTTTACAGCTAAGAAAAAGAACAGAGTATTCTCCTATTTCTCTTCTGTAACTTGCTTGTTAGCATTATGAGAGTCAGTGAAAAAGAACTAAATCCTCCTACACTAGGTGCTGAGCTGTTGTCTGTGGCATGGTTTAGAAATGTCTCCTTGGAAGTCCTCTTATTGCAGGCCCTGTTTTTATCTTCCTAAGCAAGGCAGAGGGATCCTTTTGTTTCTTAGAGTACTAGGGTGCTACTTTCTATGCTGCAAAAGAAAATGGTTGTAGAATTGCTGTTGCTCAGATGTTTCAGGCTTGCTTCCTTCTAGAAGTATTAGTATTTCCTTCAAAACGTAATTTATTGCTAATGAGGTTTTAGAGAGTCTTCTCTCCTGTTCAGCATGGTTTGACAAACTAGTTTCCTTATTTCTACTAGCTTATTTCCTTGTGTCTATTGCTGCAGAACTGAGGCTAACAGAAAGGTGTCCTTCTGTTTTCCACCTCTTGTGCCAGGCACTGATGCTGCAAATTTACAGGAAGTTATGGTTTAGTCAGCAGCTTCTGAGCTGGTGTGATAATGTGCATGTGCATCACCCTGGTGCACCCAGCTGCTTCTCTCAGCTCCTCACAGATGGACTGATTCTAATGCCATTTCTCAGTATTTAATTTGCTGGCAGGCTTTTGGTAAATGACATGGCAGTCCTGCTCAGAAAGGACAAAAACAGTTTGTAATTTATCCCCATTTTCAGCCACATAACTTGAAAAATTCAATAGGTCCACTAACAGTGTTAGACAAGTTACAAAAACGCTATCATATTTCATACATGCACATAATTATTCATTAAAGTGAATTTAGATTTAAAAGCAAAATGAAAACCCATCCAGGCTTCTTTTTATTTTCCTGAAAGCACAAGTCTGACTATTAATGGGATTGAGTAGTTTAGAATGTGTGCTGCACATAGATTTTTCCTAGCAATGCTTTGAAACCTGCAGCTGAAGGATTCACTTAAGTAAGCTGCTTGGCTTACTGTTGTGAGCAGAGGCATTAAGAATACTTTTAAAGCTGCCATTCCTAAAATACAGGAGAAATAGCAAAGGGGCAAAGGAGTAGAAGACTGAAACTCTTGTGTTGTGCTTTCAATTGTACTCTGAGCTTGTGACATTCAGAACTAGGGTATATTTTTTTGTACTGGCAGAAAACCACTAGCAAGTAAAATCAGGGATGGGATGAGATGTTAATGAAGAATGGAGTCTTCAGTGAATGTCTGTAAGCAGCTTTTGAATGTAATGGGAAAAAATCCCTCTGTCTCTCTCCTTTTCAGGAGTTGCCTTCTGAGTCTTGCCATTACCCTTAGTCTGCCCGACAGTTGACAGTAGTAATAATAGCCTGTTTCTGATCAGAGGATTCAGCTGCTGCCAAATTCTTTGAGTTTTGTGCCTACCTCTACTTTTCTCTTGACCTCCTTGTTTGGGATCTGATAGAAGCTTGCTGTCTCTAAGAGCTAATGCTTGGAAGCACACTGAGGGTTCGTTGGCCCTGATTAATGTTATTGCCAGTCAGGCTTTGGCAGTGCTCTCCCCTTCTCCTGCTTTGTGCAGTCTCATTGGGGTCTGGCACTGTAAAGCGCCCCCCTTCGCTGCAGGAACTGAGGTGCCATTAACACTGGCTGCCAGTGCTTGAAAAAATCCTTTCTTAAATCAGTGCTGGCAGCATGTTCCCTAACCTTGCAGACCTGTTTCTCTGCAGAGGGGAAAGTCTTGCATCACAACTAAAGAACAGCCCAAATTTTCCACATCTGAATACACATCTGGTACCTAATATGTGACAGTGTTTTATAGTGGCCTGAGTTTTAGGTCAAATGTTTTCTTGTAACGTGAACTCTTTTTACAGAGTTGCATATTTGGTGCAAAAACTTTCTAGCCCTAGAGAAGCTTGGCTTGGGCCTGTTTGTTTGGGGTTTTTTTCCTTTCTTTTTTTTTATTCTCTCCAATAGTAATGCAAGCTTTCCTCAGATATTTAGCAACTGAATAGTAGCTGAATTTGTCTAACAATTCTATTAGAAGAACATAAAGTCGGAAGGAAAAGTACTTTTCATCTTAGTCACAAAGCTTGAGGCATGTCTGGTTAGTGAGAGAATGAAACTTTTACAGCCTAATTGGTCTGTTTCTGAGAATATGGTTTGTAACTACTGCAGCTAGAATAAGTGCATGCCTGGACTGTAGTCCTAAGTTCAGCCTGCAAAGCATGTCACTGCCTACGTGGCCTCATGAATTGGGATGTCTTCTATAAGAGCAGGACTGACATGGCTGAAAAATGAGACACACTGTAGTGGCAGCCTTCTTCTAAAGCCCAACAGTCCTTGCTAAGCCATGTTATTTGGCTCAGTGATCACTCTCAAGTGAAGCCCAAGGTTGTGTTGCAACTGTAGCTGATTCCCTGAGGCAAGCCAGCTGGAGAAGACTAGGATTCCTTCCACAGCTGCCACATGCCCTTGGTCACAGAAAACGCAATGCTTTCGCTAACAGCCACAAGCCTCAGCATGATGATGAAGTTTTCCAGATTAGGTACAACTTATAAGAGGACCAGTAAAATTCTATGTGAAAAGGCTGCTGTAGCAGTAGGAGAACCGTTGAGATCATCCTGCTGTTGATTTTTTTTTTCCTGTTACTTGAATAGAAATTATTCCCCTCAAGCTGAGCTTCTCACCAAATGTGTCTGGGTGGTGGTTTGTGGTCGAGGAAAGGCCATTTCTTCATGTTGTTCCTGTGGAGACTGAAGTAGCCTGGCTTTCTCTGGTTGGCAGTTGCAAGCTCTGTGATAATAGTAAATGGTTGCAGGGAAAGGGGATTGTTTTCTCACCTAACTAGTTTATCCTTTAGTTAGTCTTCCCCATGGCGTGGGAAGTAAACAATTTAAGAATGCTCTTCTTGGTGTGAGTGGTCATCTTCCACTGCCTGTGTGTAGCTGCAAGGCTGCATAGGCTTATGTGTCGGGAAAGAGGGCTGTGTGTCAGCAGAGAGAGGTGAGTTTCTTTCCTTCTTGGCTGGGTGGTCCACAGCCCCCTCAGAGGTGAGTCTGCCTTACTTTTTATGCTTTCTCTCACTTCGGCCTCTGTTCCAAGGCCGGTTTGCAGAGTGGGAGGGCTGCACCTGCCCTCTCACAGCTGTTGCAGGGTCTCAGCCCTCTACTGCTGCTTCGCATCCAAGCCGCGACTGCTCCGAGGCAGGGGTCTGGCGGTAGTAGGGGAAACAGCTTCTCCTGGAGTGCGGCCTGCCCCGCCGCTCTGCCCTTGCCTCCGGCGCGGTGCCGTTTCCCGCCCTTTCGCCCGTCTCGAGCGGCGGCAGAGGGCGCTGCCGCCCGCCATGGCCGGGGCCCTGCACGCGCGACAGCTTCCACCCATGTGCTCTGCAGAGGGACAGCAACTCCTCTGCAGCAGCCTCTGCTTTTGCCACCTAAAATAGGATTGTGACAGCTACGAAGAAGTGGGAGATGGGCAAATTCAAGCAAGCGGGGCCTCTTCCACCACCAGCTCTGAGCAGGAAAGTCATACCCTGAAAGGTCAGTCAGCTCTGCCAGGGATTCTGAAGGGACTGATTTTCTTGCAACGAAATGCTGTTGTGTGAACAAACTTCTCATTTTCCTTTTGCATGTCATGAATGTGTGCTTTTTATGTTGACCAAACCGTGGGGATGGCAGGAGGAGGGTTTCCAGGAACACAACAAAGATAGGAGACCTAAAAGGCTCCTTGCAGTTGTGGACTGTTTCAGTAGAGAGGAAAGTGACTAAAAGGGTACTTTGTGTGGCTGCTACTGCTGCACACCTCTTCCTCAGCTAAATGCATAGAGACTGCTGCTCTCCAGCTCTTTGTTGCGTAGCTTTTGTGTCCAGAGCTATGTTATTTTTTAAATGGCTTTTTGGTGAGGGGCTGTCTTTTAAGATGAATGGTCCTGAACACATGCTGACAGCAGTCAGAAGTCACCCTAGGTAGGAGGGGCCTTTATCTCCGTGGGCAGAGCCAGCCCTGTCACTGGCTCTTGTCCTTCAAAAGATATAGGTCTCTTCTTCCTGTATACTCCTGTGGCAAATGAGTCTGTATGTTATGTGCTTTCTCCTAAAAAGACTGAATGTTGTTCATTTGTTTAACATCAGTTTCCTGTTCTCTGCTTATGCTTAGGGCAGAGACTTTAAAAAAATGAAGCTTGGATTCTGCTCACATTCCCCTTTCTTAAAGGGAACTTAAGCTTTATCAGATTGCTGTGCTGAGCCCTTGAAAAACAGGCTAAGTTCTTAAAAAAAACAAAACCATGTATGCAAACAAACAAAAAATCCACAAACAACTCACTCAAAACAAAAAAAACCTCTAAGCAACCCTAAAAAAACAACAGAACAAAAGCCTACACATCTGCTCCACAAGGGCATCTCCGAGCTGCCGAATGCTGCTCTAAAGTCAGATGTTACGGCTCAAATCCCGATGGAGGTAAGAGCCTAAGGAAGCAAAGAATATGCAGGTTCAAGTACAGTCTTAGTGTTATTTTAGGAGAACCCGCTAGGTTAGGTGGTATAT